AATGTGCTTCAAACAAATAAACAGGAAGAAAACTGGCATAAAAAAAAAACTAAACAAAAATAACTAAAAATAACTTAAATTCATGAAAAGAAATATCAAAAGAATCAAAATCATTCTATTCTTTATGTAATACGTTACAAAAAAGACTACTGCTAAAGCTCAGGTCTCAGGCTGAACCCAAATTAAAAGTCAATTGGTTCAAAGCCTCCATTAACTCTTATGTCAGACCCTTACCTGGGGTTGTCGGTTTCCGTTGTCTCTCTATTTTTTAACGTTATGCCGCATCTCTGCCTTCCACTTGGGACTCCTTTCTCTTCTTTTTATTCATGGTACTTCCCTTTGCCAACTTCTTTATCTTACAATTGCTACTCCTTCTTCTAAGGCTTGGCATATGCCACAACATGAATTATATTCCAGTCAGACTTCTCAATCTTAACATTATTTGTTGCATACGATATCAGGTCCTAATATTACTTAGGGTGAAATTCAATTCACATGTAGTGTTTCATCTTCAATTCTAGGACTCTACATACAGTCAGTTACTTATATCGGACTCGTGGACACCAAAGGGAATGGCAACTATGAAACATCATAAAATTATTAGGATTAATGAAAACTAAAAGTAAAGTCAAAGGTTGTGCAGGTGCATGGTATTAATACGGCCGTGGCTTCAATAAAATATCTAGTAATGGCCACCAGAGCAATTCAGTCACAACTTAGAATGTGACGCCCCATTGTGGATACGCAATCTATTAATTTGTGTGTTTTTGGCTAAAACTGACACATATGTTAAGATTTCAATTTAATAATAACAATAGGGCATAGGATTGCCGAGTATTCCTATCGGCCACCAGATCTGCTTTTTTAGGGGTGACTTGTCGGTAAAGAATAGAGATTTTTCCAAGGGATAAACATTGCACATTTGTTTAATCAGTCGGTTAAATTAATATATAAATCATCTGTAAATTTACTTTGGATGAGTACATTACGACGATTCTCAAAATTTAGACTGGTTATTGTCTGTAGGCAATTTGAATCCATTACAACATCGCCGTTATTCTATTAAATTCTTGTATAATAGCGCCGCCGTAAATCCTTTCGAGTGGTAAGGAATTTTTGTCCAGGTAATTTCTAAATGGAACCTCTAAACTCATAAGCAAGATTGTATTAGGTGATTCGATACATACTTAGGTATCAATATTAATCTTATTATTCAGCGATAGCAGTTTATACGGTAACTCTCCAGGGCTCATTATATCGGATCTCGTGCTCTTTCGTCTTTTTCTTACTTGTATCTTCTTCAGTCCCTCTTTTAGGGATGGTGCTTAGAACAATTGTTTGTTGTTACTATGCCCTACACTTATCATATCTCTCATGGTCAATTCTTACTTATAGTAACTCTCTACTTTCTTCCGCTTTCTCGCTCTGCTTTTCTTACGTAACCAGATTAAGGTGGTTCTCATCATGTCTTTCTTGTCGGTCCTTACTTTGGTTCCCGGCTTGGGTATGTTCATTTTTTAAACTACCCAATTCCTCCTTTGGGTTTATGGTGATTCTGTCTACATACTACTCGCATTGTCATAGGCTCTTCATTAATGTCATGCTAAGCAGGTAATTCTATTTATTTAAATGTCTACGCCTTCCTGGCGCTTTTATGTTTAAACTAAACTTAATACATTCTGTTAAATATAGTATTTAAGTTAACTCGTAGAAAACATCAATTACCATCTCTTAAGGCTTATTTCTTGTCTTCGGCTAGAGTTCTCTGTTCTAACTTGTATGGCGAATAAAGTTCCTTTCGGTAGAAGGTTCAACTTGAGAGAATTTTTCACTTTTAATCTCTTGTAATTTGACTCCAGTACTCTCTTTCCTCTATCACCCGTTTCATGAAATTGTCACAGTGAAACAGGTGTTACCGTGAAGAGACTACCTTACGTGAAAATATTAGTTTTGGAAAGCTCATACCACGACCGTTGGGGTTTGCGCCCGTGCGGGCTGGTGAGCTCACAACTTGGGCCTATACCTCAATATGTCTCTTGGCAGGATCTAGGGAGTCATCCAGGGTTTCCTATTATATTATGTTCTTGGATCTGAACATATAAAATTCGTTTTCACTTGGTCTGTTTTTTGTGTCTAATTTTTCTCTATATATATATTGGCAGTCGTGCAAAATTTGAATCTTGCTATCTGATATGACCAAGTCATTTATGCTCTGACCTACATGGCCTTTCTTTATCAGGTGGCTTGAGGAATAGAGAAAGTAAAGTTTGGCAGTAAATTTTGGCTTCAATTGTTATCTTTCTTGTACTTGGGTTCCTTGTCAGTTTGAAATTCTTTCTTGTTGTGGTGCCCCGGACTAAGGCTTTCACTCCTGTGGCCCATCACTGCCACCTTCGTCTCGACTCGGGTTGCTGTTGGTGTATGTGACAGCTTGTGTTTGTTAGGTTCACTATTTAGTGACTTATATCCATAAATGAAGGGTGCTCAACATAGATATTGTGGTCGACCTTGAATATTCTAATAACATTAAGAGAACCGCTAAAAAATTTGTGAGGGAAAACAATAATTTTACGAATGGCACCAAAGAGTGGAGAGGAACATGATATATGTACATACACAGTATCGGATTTTGATCAACACCCTTTACAATTTGGTAGTTGTATGGGCACCAACTTCTAAATGAGCGAGAATACATTATTTTTTATTTTTCAACAAACAAAAAAACTAGCCAGTAGAACAACGGAAAAACAGAACTTATCGGGGAATTCCATTCATATATTATCTTGAGTGCATAACACATATTCGCGTAAAATGGTTATGGGTTAAAAAAAGAAAACAAAAAGAGAGGGGAAAATCAAAAACCAAAAAAATTAATACAAGAACAAATGTTGTTATTGCCACCAAGATAATCCATCAAATTCGACTGAGTGATTTAGCTACTCTTAGCCTCCGTTACATGTCACGGGATAAAAATCACGCCATGCCACAGCCCCACCTGAACACTGTCGCTATATCGAAGTGGTATCTGTTAGGCCTTTAACGGATCTCTAGATCTAATATCCGGTTTCCTTTGTCATGGCTTTTTTTGGCAATTCTTCCTGTACGTCCACTAGTCCCTCATTCCTACATCTTTGTCAATAATGAGGCCTGGACTGTTGGGATTGGAGGGTGGGCAACCTACCTGCTAAACTATTCTCGCATTCTGAGCGTGTATGACCATGACGGCACTGTGTCTAGCTCCCACGCCTGTAAATCCTCTGGGCTGCTGTTTTCTTCAAGCCGCTTCAATCCCCGGTTTTAGGGCGAGAATTTCCTCTCTGACCGCTGGACGGTAACTCCAGGAATCATCCTGAATTGGGTGGTTAAAAGGAGCGGATAAAAATTATCCTGACAGCAGTGCAGAGGGTTCGAACAAGAAGCAGTTTCCTCCTTTTCTACTGAACCTCTTCTCCCTCTGGAGTTTGATTATCAAGTCAATCCTGTTTCACGAACAGTTTATTACCACTTTCCTTACCTATTAGGATTGAATTGTATGTCTATGAAGAAAATGGTCTATTTAGACCACACAGCAATTTCTACCTTCAATTTCCCATTTTCCCTCTGCAACTAAATAGTAAACTGGGAAGGAATATATTATGTCTGTGAGAAAATCTAACAGCCTCATATAACTTCTGTGGAGACTACAACCTAATCAGACTCCTTACGTTTCTTTGTCTTCTTGAGTGAATATACCTGAAAACTTCCCGCCTTTTGGCCACTCTTGCAGGTTTAACAATCACCATCAAGCGACAACGTGAATGCGATTTCTCCATACGCATCTTCTGAGGTTATTCATTAACTCGCATTTTAGTATACAGTTTAATTCTATCCAACGTTAAGACCCTTTTCATGGTATACTGCCTAAAAAAACACGAGGATAAATTCCCTCTCCTCAATCTCTAGGCATCACATATACACATTTGAGCATTGAAATGATAGCAGTTTTTTTCACGGTCACCCTTTTTATATAGTAGTTCCTTTCTCTACCCTAGGGAGTCGATTTTTGGGACTAAAACGGCTAAATCAGAGGATGGAACTCATGATGGTTGGTGTTACCCCTGATGTGATACATTGGCTGTTTTGTTTTTGTAGAGATTTTTACAAGATGGTTGACATTTGAGGGCGTGCTGTTTGTTTGGATGAGGGTGAAGGATTGTTTCATTTATCCAGTCTTCTCCATTCATCCTGGAGAGGTGGGGAAAACAATATTAGAAACAAAACCTCAACTGTCAGTATCTATGTTGCTGTGTAATCATCTTCTATCTTTTCTTTAATTATCTTGTTTACTTTTGATTAAACAAACTTAAGCTGAACCATTATTACTCCTCACCTCCCTATTAATTATCATAAAGCGTAAACTACCATTTCTTTGATACTCCTCTATAATTACTTTCCTTATGAAATAAAATATAAGTTCGATTGGCATCTGAACATGGTAAATATATCCCAGCACTAAACCTATTTATTTATAGTCGACTATTCGAAAGCTATTAATAAATCATTTACCAACCACGCTTACATAAAAATAGAATTTACAAAATTGACAAACATTATTTCCAACACGTTTCACTTACCTATTTTCTCTCGGATTTAGTGGCTATATATGGGTATATTTCCGCGGGCTCGGAATGACATCATAAGACTTTGAGAGACACTGTCTCATGAATATCATGAACTTAAATTTGCGCATGTCAGGAATCCTCCACATCTCGCCCATTCTAATCTTCGCCTCCAGAGGGTACTCAACCTTCATCTACAATTAATTTACCAATAAAACATAAAACGATAATTCACAAATAACAAAATTGGTACTAAAAATCCAATAGGTGAATATTGAGTCAATTAGAGCTGGAAGTATTCATTTTCCCCAAACACAAATCACCACCAGACTCTTCAGAGGCTCACTGGTTCGGGAAATGCCAATAATCCTCTCAAGATATCAATGATGCTAGCTGATTTACTTTTGAGCATGATAATTTCCTCAAGGAACTCTGCAGAGCCCTCAGGGGTAAAATGGCAATCCAAGTAACAGGACGGGTGCGGAATGAACCATATAGGATAGCTACAACAAAGACGCGGGACCATGGTTCCGTGGCAAAAATAACACCTTTTCACCATTACCTTCCATCAGGTGTCAATCAGCAAATTAAACTTGATAATTACTACAAACACACAAAAGAGTTTGTATTTCAACTATGGCACCAAAAAGAACAATCAAAAAGGTAGTGAGAGCAATATTAATAACAATAACTTTAAAAGGTTAAGTGGTCATATTTTTCAATACTGGGATAGAGTCATAAAGCTACTTGACCCACTAATGTTTCTTGCAATTTCCAATAGGAGTAAGGGTATCGGGATGTAATAAATGAAGCTCATCGATGGGGAAAAACCTTAAGACGACATTTAATAGGAACTAGGATAATTGAATGAAGAAGGAGGAGAAATGAGCTTTCCTCCTATGCCATACTTAATGCCTATCAATATTGTCAGTGTATAAATAAAAATTATTTCATATATTTCATGGATTGGGACTACTTTATAGTTAGGTATACAATCTTTAGGAAAAATGATTTCTGATTAACACACTTCTTTACACAAAAATATGTTTTAAAAATTTTCAACACAGAAACTAAAAGATACTCACACTCTGCACTTTATAAGACCTTTACTAAATAAAAATCTTAAATCTACTGTCTCCCAAAAAACGTTTATAAAAATAGCGAGGCACAAGAAAGAGATAAATACCTATACATATATAAAGGATGGTATGAATTATATCGTAGATGTTACGTATGTGGGCTAGCACCGCCAGTGAAATGTGTGTGTGTGTACACATAATGTGTAATACCAGAAGAAGAGAGTGTGAGCCATGCGCATGTGTGAGTTTGTGTGAATATGTATCCCTGTGGTGCCTGCATACACTGTTCTTCTACGTCCGTGGGCATCCTTGTACAAGTCCATGGCGCTTGTTCTCTATATGTGTTTAGTGTATTATTAATGTGCATTTTAGTTGCATATAGGCGGTACGCACCATCTTCACATTCCAAAATTGCCTTAAAACTAAATGATAAGCAAGGTAATCAGGAAAGACAAAGAAGGAACCCTAGCTAGAATAAAAAAACCAGAGCATGTAATTGTCTCATGCAATCAAGTAAAACTAAACAATATTATCTAACTGCATCCATAATATTTACAAGAAAAAACTCCATGGGAGATTCTGCCATGCTTTATCAATTGATATTTTCAATAAATTCAGGCAACCTTATAACATCTGCTGCAACTTTCCTCTATTTCCTCTATCATACCCCTAAAAAACTAATATTGCTAAAATCACAGGATAATTCAATGCATAAAGAATGAATATCTAAAAATAAATTCAGAACAAATCCTTTAGAAAATTCAGTACTATATAAAGGGCATATCAAACTACTTCTTTCAAATGTAGGTTTAAATAAAAGATCAGCTTCAACAAACCTCCGTGAAAAAGGTAACATTCTATTTATGGTAGGAGACACGACTCTCAATGCATCACTCTACGAAGTGACGCAGTATAATTTAAACTCCAATAGCGGATAGAAGATAAGATAAAAATATAAGGAGGTCTGATTGTAGTAGAAAAAAGAAAGGAAAATAGCAAAATAATTAATGGCAATGGATTTTCTGACCATTTGCGATATTGCCAGCACGACACATGCTATATCCCAGCTCTCATTACATGCATGGAAGCGATAGGCGAATGTAGATACCACAAAGAAGGTAAGTAATACAGGCACATAATTTATAGGTTGAAAGAATAAATGCAAAGCGCGAAGTTATTATATTTGTATGCGAGGTGATTGTAAAAGTAATTAAAATCATTATTAACAAGAATAAATAAAAAATAAAAAAACTCAAATATATTCACATAGAGTTTATTAAAGGAGGCAACTTGGATACCTGTTATGGACTCGACTTGATTACAGTAAGTCCCTACCCTTTGCACAAAGCTTTATCTGTGTTTTACAGGGCATGACAATTCTTTACAGTGGAGGATTGCATTTCGATTGGAGGTGCCTACTCATTCTACTAATTGATAGCCCTTTATGTCGCTGGCCAGCAAGGGACCACCTAGGTGGAATGGAACATCAATAGCTACATATCATTTTCTTTATCTGCTCTTTCTTACGTATACGGGATCCGGTTGGTTAATCGAGGCATTATTTCGATAGATTGTGAGGATAAAAGCAGTCTTTATTCTAGCACTCTAGTAGATATGAAGGCGAAATTCAACCTAGGGTAACACTATTCCTAAGTAAAGATAAGCCATGCCTAAGCTAAATCGAAGCCTCTGATTACTCCCTACTGTTGAATTAAAATTCTTCTCTACTGTACTTGGCAAAGGTTAATATCCAATATATCCATCAATTTAATATCAAGATAAATTTGATGAACATTTACAGATAAAAGAATTAGTATTCTTGAACTTCTACTGAATATCTACTTTGCATACAGAATGAGGATGAATAATTTCACAGTACTAGATGAGTAAGTAATGCATCAAATTACATGATGATGATATCAGAGCATCAATTACATATCTTTCCCTGTGAAAAATATTCATTCTCATTCACATTTTTGCCAAACATCTATCATGCTATGCAACTACACACCTCTACGTTTCCTCTTCTTCGGCAACTCATCATTATTGACCAGATGCGGGTTCGTTATCTCCTCCAGATGAACAGGGTCGTCAGTGTTGAACAGAGTGCGCACTTGGAAGGGAAGCACCGCGCGCAGGTTAATGGTTGGGTATCTTGATGCTGGGTCCAAGCTATAGGAAGAGTGATCTGTAAGAGAATCAGTAATTAATTAATGAATGTATTACTTTCTATTATTTGCATTACCTTGTATTACTATTGCATAGTTTGACTGGGAACCCTCAAATATAATTAATAAGACAGAAAATATGATTCTTTGTAAAAGGGAGAAGCTAAATACTCATTTACAGAAAAACAACAAGAAAAAAAACACAAGAATATCAAAATTGACCAATTCAAGTTCTTAATTTAGAAACATATTTGTATGCCTTCTCTATTCAAAATACAAGAGAATCCCCCAAAGGAAATTTAGAAACACATAACCCTAAAAACTTACCTTTACTGAGATTTTCAGGAGTAGTCTGTGCAAGAAGCCGATAAATGCTCTCTCTCTCTGCAAGCACCTCTAAAGGCATCATTTTCCCCGATGAAAATGAGCGAATCATCCAGCAAGCGTCGAAACTGCTTAGAAAGCCTCGAGCACAGCCTGACCCCGTTGGCCAGAAAGGCTGCAACAGAAAACAGTAAATATGCATATGAGTGAATAAATAACAATATAAATTCACAATCATTATGAAACTTGAACAAAAATAAAAGAATACTGAATAATCTGATCTATTTCTTCATTTCTACCTTATGTATTCTTTTATCACTACCAAGGGAATCTATGGGAACAATTTGAAACAGAAGCATAACAAAACATTACCTCTAGCAAGCTGTCTCCTACAAGCCCAGAGAGGAGCTTATGTCCTCTCTTCTCCACCATTCTGCAAGCATTCTCTGCTGCAAACATGGATGTGAAATCAAACATTGCCACATCAGGCTTGCCATAGTGATTAACAGCAAAATCCAGATGTGGCAGCTGATAGCTTGTGGAAAAGTCTGCTGCTTCACGAGCATATTCCATGAGAGCATTCCGGTCTACGTTGCTTGGATGTAAAAGCTGTTGAGTGTCTTGAAGATCCTTTTGATGTGGAAAAAAAAAAAATTATTAAAACAGTTTCACTCTGCTTTTACTTCTTTATACATATAGCATAAATATAAACTATCCATGCAATTAATACCTCAATAAAAGAAATCAAGACTTACGCGTAAAATGACTCCCTTTTCAATAAGTGACTGTTTCTTTGCTGTCATCACAAAATAGTGTGTTTCATCTTTGTAGTACACAATGTTCTCTAAGTCAATGCCGGTAGCTGCATATAGCTCCTTGAAGAATTTCTGATTAAAGATGAAAGCTACTCCACTGATTTCCTGTTAAGAAAAAAGAGTGAAATTGAAGTCAATAACGACCATATTCTGTACAATATTTCTTTCTCTTATGAATAAAATATATAGCACCAACCTTATCAACATATCTGCCAAAGACACTCTAAAAACACTACATATCAACACGTTATTACCTGCACTCTAGCCTCAAGTTCTGTGCGTTTGTTGATGAAATTTGCTGTAATAGCAATGGCCAATTTGCCACGAAATTCCTTTCTCTTGAATCCATGTAAAGTATTCCTTTTGCCATCTGCACCAATCAGGACATCAAATTCATACTGATTGGCAGGATGGTCTGCCGGGCTGAGTCTGGCTCGCCATCCAATTTCTAGAACAAGTTAAGGCACATTAAAACATTGCATTGAAACAGGTACAAAAATACATAGATAAACAATCTACAGACACAGTGATATAAAAATCTGTATAAGAATAGAAAATATGCATGTATAAGGTTCTTTTCTTCCTTGAAGTAAATATGATTCTATACTAACTTTCATTCTGGTCCTCTGGAGGTTCTGTGAGCTCTTCAAAGCTTACATTTTCATAGATTTCCACACCTAACAGCAATGCTACCTTCAGCAGTATACATTGAAGTTGCCGTATACCTGAAAGAGGCAAAAAAATTAACATATACAAAAGTAAGTAAGTAATAAGTAAATCAAGTATTGACTACAGCTAACCAATCAAACAGAGTATAATTAAAATTTCATCACATAACCATTTCACCTTTGCCTATATATCATACAAGACTGAGTGCCCAATCAGTCTAATAAAGCAAAAAAACAACAACAAAACGAACAACTTACTGATGTGATCGATTGCTCCCGCGCAGAATTTGCCATAGAATTTCTTAGCCCCCAATTGCTTGAGGTCGTTGATGACAAAAGGCCAGAGAT